ACCTTGACGAAACATCAATTAAAGCCGTTTTCGTCGAGTGAAACACACGATAACCCGACTGGTGAACCGGCAGAAGATTATGAATTTTCAAATGAAAAGCAAATTGTGATAAAACGATTCTTTCAACCAACTTTGACAAAAACATAAGGTTAGATACAGGTCGGTAATTTTTTAACTCATGTCTATCAAGAGAATTCTTCTTCAAAATCGGTGTAACAACAGCATTTTTAAACGCTGATGGAAATGAGCCAGAACTTAAACACAAATTTATGAAAAACGTTAAAAACGGTAAAAACAAATCAACAAATCTTTTAAGAATTTTTGTGGGCACACAATCAAGAAAACAAGATTTTGATGGAGACTCTAAAATGACTTTTTTTTATGTAGCTGTCAGTACAGGGCGAGAAGTTTGAAAAAAAAGATTCTTCATCAAGATCACATGAAGTGAATGTTGGTTCATCACAATGATTGGTTGAATTACGAACATCATCAATTTTGCTTTTGAAAAACTTGGAAAAGTTAAGAGAACTATGATCAACTTCTGATAGATCCATTACCTGTTCCATTCCAAGCAAACCGTTAACGGCATTTCAATGACGTTTTGGTTTGTTACTATTTGATTCCACCAAGTCTTTCCAATAACAATTTTTTTTTGACAAACAAGCAATATTTATCTTTAATAGCTTGTCGCCAGATATTCTTATTTTTATCACTTAGGTTGTTTCGATAAACCCGTTCTAATCTGCGACATAGCCTTTTCAAATCCTGCACTCTCCGTCGAACCAAGGGGCTAATGGCACATGTTTAGAGTTGACATAGTGTAGTGGAGCCACTTCATCAACAACCCTCCTCATCTCACGATCAGACAACACAAATGCATCATCCAGGTCATCACTATCAAACGGACCACTGTATGTATGTATGTATGTATGTATGTATGTATGTATGTATGTATGTATGTATGTATGTATGTATGTATGTATGTATGTATGTATGTAAGTAAGTATGTATGTATGTATGTATGTATGTATGTATGTATGTATGTATGTATGTATGTATGTATGTATGTATGTATGTATGTATGTATGTATGTATGTATGTATGTATGTATGTATGTATGTATGTATGTATGTATGTATGTATGTATGTATGTATGTATGTATGTATGTATGTATGTATGTATGTATGTATGTATGTATGTATGTATGTATGTATGTATGTATGTATGTATGTATGTATGTATGTATGTATGTATGTATGTATGTATGTATGAATGTATGAGTGTGTGTGTATGTGTGTGTTTGTATTTGCTTAAGGACGTATGCGAGCATTAATTTTAAAGAAAAATATTTATTCATTTGAATTTTTTATGCGTAACCTTAGTGACAGGTTGGGCGCTATATAAATGATGGTGGTAGTGATAGTGATGACGTTTTTGTTGGTGATAATGATGATAAAGATGTCGTCGATGATGATGATGATGGCGATGATGATAGTGATGTCGTATTTGTTGTTGCTATTGTTGATGATGATGATGATAACCATGATGACGTTGATGATGATGATGATGATGACGTTGATGATGATGATGATGACGATAAGGACGTTGATGATGATAATGATGAGGACGTTGGTAATGATAATGATGTTTAAAATGGTGGGTGACGACCGTCAAGAATACCTGCAAGATTTGATCACCGATTTTTATTCGTGCATCTCTGCCGGCAGAACTTTTGGGATCAACCTGTCGACAAAAATTGAAACATAATTCATCCTATCCACACTTCTATCCATCCACAATTAAATGGGATGAAATGGGATAAAATGGGATGAAATCTATCCACAATTAAATGGGATGAAATCTATGAAATGGGATGAAATGGGATGAAATCTATCCACAATTAAATGGGATGAAATCTACAAAGGACGGAAACGCTGCCAACCTCCTTGACGTAAACGTCGATGACGTCATCGTAGGTTGCCCCGTAGCAGAGGGTGAGGCCCATTTTCCGTGTGACGTCATCCCTAACGACTGTCACTTCCTGTTAGGATTTACGGACACGCCAGCTCGCATCAGTAATGCACAGTTTTAGAAATTTAAACATATATAATTCGCAAATTTTCTTCTTCTCTCTCTCTTTCTCTCTCTCTCTCTTTCATTCTCTTTATTTTTTATTAAACAGGAGAGAGAGAGAAAGAGAGAAAGAAAGAAAAAGTATGATGCTGATGATGATGTTGGTTAAAGAGTTATAAATATTTGGAGGGGATAACAAATGGAAAAAAAATGAGAAAGAGAAGATAACCGAAGAAAGAAAGAGGAAAGAAGAGTGAGAAAGAAAAAAGAGAGAGAGGGAAAGGGAGGGAGAGGAGGAAAGAGAAAATGATGTAATGACTCATGAGTTTCCATGCAAAAGAGAGATAATCGCGAAGACCGGGTGATGACGATGATGATGATGGATGGGAGAATAATAATGATGATGATGGTGTTGATGAAAATGATAATTATAGTTATAGAGATAATAATTATAAATATAATAATAATTATTATAGTTTTAATAATGATGGCGATGATGAAGAAGATGGCATAGCTAGCTGATGGAGAAGGATTGACGGTAATAATTCGCATTTACCGCAATAATAATAATAATAACAATGTCATCAATTATTGTATTAATCATATAAATAATAATATAAATAATAATAATAATAAAAGTCGTAATAATAACACAGAAATTATAACGTAACATATAATAATAATAATAGAAATAATAAAAAATTTGTCATCGTTCGTAACAAAACTTATCAGATGTACCGACTGGTGCAATCCTTAGGTGCAGACTTACAATTGATTTTGCTCAATTTGTTTTAGCGTACAAGCATACAAACAAACATACATACAAACATACATACATACAAACATTATCACGACTTTTAACATACACACATACATACAAACAGACATATATACACATACAAACACACATACATACATTCACACTTACGTACACGCAGTTAAATCGTGCGCTTTCTGCAATGAAAGGCGCCATTATTTATTAGTCCGCGTTGAATGTACGCAACTCTGCTTCTTGCACATGTATGTATGTTTTAATGTATGTATGGTTTGTATGCATGTATGTACGTACGTATGTATGTATGTGTGTGTGTGTATGTATGGTATGTGTGTGTGTTTGTTTGTGAGCTTGTACACTTGTGTGTTTTAGTTATTCTAGAAATGTTTGGTCGCACTCCTTATCGTCGTCGTCGTCACCATGATTCTACCACCGTGTGATTTTTCAATTTGTTTTGCGCCTGTCACTTTAAAAAACCAGGAGCAACAAAAGACAAAAAAAATTTGTTTCCGGCACAAAAATGTACCAAAGAAAGCAAATCCAAAAAAAAACAAACAAATAAAAATAATTCAAACCTCGTATTCAAATTCTATTGGTTGATTTATGTTAGCCGGGTCATCAACCAGCCAATCAGAATCAAAGGATCGATTAACCAGGTCAACATCATCATCGTCGTCGTCGTCGTCTTCTTCATTAACGTTATCAGGAATTGCGATACCAGCAACATCACTGTAGTACCTATTTGATTGGTTGGTTGGTTTGGTCAGTTATTTATTGGTCAATTAGTTGATTGGTTGATTAATTGATTGGATGATTAATTGATTGGTTGATTACTTGATTGAGTGATTAATTGATTGGTTGATTAATTGACTGGTTGGTCGGTTGGTTGTGGGATTAGTTTATTAACTAGTGTGTTGATTTGACGTTTTTTAAATAGTTCGATACGACATAACGTCAATTGATCAATTGATTGATTGATTGATCGATTGAATGAATGAATGATTAATTGATTGATTGATCGGTTTATTGGTTGGTTGGTTGGTTGATTACTTCAATGTGCTATAGGATGATTGATTGGTTTGATGACTGTTCTGAAAAAAATTAAATAATTGATTGATGGTTGATTGATTGCCAGATTAGCTAGACAACATTTAGATATACAAATACATACACACACGTACACACACACTCACACACACAAGTACACACACACATATGAACCGCAGGACAAGCCATATAACTAATGTTTTTTATACGTGTTCTTGAAATATGAATTTGACGAGGCAATGAAAAATGCATGAAGCTAATCATCATCAACATCCTCCACATAATTTTTCTTGTTATCATCTATATCTTCATTCTCAACATCAGCAGCAGTAGAAGCAGCTGCAGTAGTAGCAGCAGTAGCAGCAGCTGTAGTACCAGCATCATTGTCGTCATCATCGTCGTCATTGTTATTTTCATTTAATTCTTGTTTCTCTTTTTCATCATTATCATTCAAAGAGTAAGCAAAAAACAAAACTAAAATAATACAAGAGAAAGATAGAGAGAGAGAGAGAGAAGAGAGAGAAAGGGGAAAAGAAAGATAGGAAAAAACAGAGAGAGAGAGAGGAAAAGAGAGAGAGAGAAAGAGAGAGGAAGAGAGAAAGAGAATGAATGAGTGTGTGAGATTTGGCAAAAATTACTGAACGAAACAACATCTGCATAAAGACGATAACGATTGAGAGAAAAAAATACAAACAAAACAAACAAAAGCAAACATAACAAAATAAGTACATACAAACGAACATACAAAGTGCATCTGAGGACTAGATTTCATTTTTATTATTATTATTATTTATATTATTTTTCACTTGTTTATTTTCATTTTTTATTGCTTCAAATGTCCATTCTCCTATTTCGTCCTCATTGTGTTTTTTTTCCATTATTCTTTATTTTATTTCTTTGAAAAATCTTTTCAATTTATTTTATTCTTAGTTTTATTCTTAGTTTGATTGGATTCAAAGTTTACGTTCATGTATGTTCAGTCTGCTTATGTATGTTCAGCCTGCTTATGTATGATTGTATATATGTACACGTATATATCTTTGTTTATATACGTCTATGTTGTTTTTTATGTAAATATGTATGTATTTTTTTGCTTATTTTTGTTTATGGTATGCCTATATGGGGCTGATTATTATATGTATGATTATACGTATGTCTGTGTAGAGTGTATATGTATGTGTATGTGTAGGTAGGCTTGTATGTCTGATTTCGTATGTACGTAGTGTAAATTTGGTTTCAGTTCGGAGTAATTTGACAAAAGAAAAATATTTTTTTGTGTTTTTTTTGAAAATGCTTGAGAGGTAAAAATTAGTTTTTGTCGGTGAAATCTTCAAGATACAACAACAACAGCAACAACAACAACTACTACTATAACAACGACAACAACAACAACTACTACAACGACAAAGACGACTACGACAACAACAGCTAACCAGGAAAAAATGTTTGGCAAATTTTTGAAAAAGAAAAACGGTTCAGTTGAAATTTTTGCTGCCAAAAACAAAAAATTTCTCCTCCAAAAACTAAAATTTAGAAAAATAAAAAGAAAAATAAATTATCTTCAGTATATTTAAAAAAAAACTTTTTGTTCGAAATTTTAGAAAAGTTACTAACGGTTCAAAAGGACAGACGAGATTCGAACTATCGTCTGTCAGCGTGTTGTACCACCCATGATGTCCATCTCTTCGACCTGGTTCCCCGCTAGGGAGAACATCATCCCCTCTACAAACAACTCCATCATTACCATCGCAATTATTCAGCAAATAATTCTGGAATTCCCCTTCCGCGATGACGTCATCGTACTCAGCCAATAGGCTTTCGAATCCGTTGAGGCCATCTTCGTCTTCATAGTCATCGTCGTTTTCATTGTTTTTTGTCATTGTTGTTGTTGATGATGTTGACGTTAATAACGATGTTGTTGTTGCTGCTGATGTTGATGACGATGTTGTTGTTGTCGTTGTTGTTGTTGTGGGTGTGTTTTCGTTGTTTCCATGATTGGTTTCGGCGGATGATGCCAATGAGTTATTATCAAATGCAGGAAGTTTCAACACAGGTCGAATATTATTCTTGTTATTATTATTATTACTACTACTACTACTACTACTACAGATGGTAATAGTTTCGCTACTACTACTACTACAAGTATTAGTGGTAATAGTATATGCAGTAGTCGAAGCTAGCAAGGCAGTAATTTTTGAAGTGAAGTCGCAAGCTATCGTTGTGGTAGTAGTGGTAGTAGAAGCTGTGGCTGTGGTAGTAGTAGTAGTAGAATTATTCGAAGTACTAGTAACATCAAGGCGACCTGTTATATCCATATTACTTTATGTTGTTGCTGATGATGATGATTTGGCAATGATGATGATGATGATGATGATGATGTAGCGTAGATGATGACGACGTTGTAGTGGTGATGGTGGTGATGATGATGATGTTTGTTTAGGATCAACAAGGTTGCATTTTAAATTTTCTTTTCACAATCTGAAAAAATTTCAAGATAGCCATTATCATCATCATCATCACCATTATCATCATCATCGTCGTCTTCTTCTTCACCATCATCATTTTTGTAATAATGAATCTACTATATTATCGCAAATTGAAACTGTAGATATATTTTAGCTCAGGCAAAAGTAAAAACCAATTAGTTGTAGTATTAGTAGAAGTTGTAGCAGCAACAGCGGTAGTAGTGGTGGTAGTAGTAGTGGCAGCAGCAGCAGTAGAAGTAATAGTAGTAGTTGTTCTCACGTATCAACCATCACCACCATCTTAAACCCACGAAATCTCCAGCACGGAGGCACATGAACTAAGCCAATAAAGAATGATTAATGAACGCTACTGTCGCCACTACTACTACCACTACTACCTTTACTACTACTGCTTCTGCTGCTACGACTAATACTACTACTACTACTGCTACTGCTACAATTACTACTGCTGTTACTACTAATGCAAATACAAATGCGGTTGCTACTTGCTGCTGCCATAATTACTGCTACTACAACAGCTGCTACTACAACTGCTGCAACTACTAATACTGTCGTTGTTAAAGATATTAATAATTATAATACTATTTTTCATGCCTTCAGTACAATTACTTTTACAACATTACAACTACTTTTGCTGCTATTTCAATTTCTTTTAATACGGCAACAGTTGCCACAACTACTGCTTAGATAACAGTGATAAGTATCAATGATACTATTCACTAAACGCAGTATCACCATTTGTAGTAATTTAGTATTAATACTAGACAAAGCAGAACGCAAACCTATCGACCATTATGAGTCGTTATTATTAATTTAGAAACATTTACGGCGTTTTAGTCTAGACACAAAATATACATTGCTTTATATCATGTGTCTCTCTGTGTGTTTGTGTGTGTGCGTCTGTGAGTGTGTGTCTGTCTGTGTGAGTGTACGTGTGTGAGTGTGTGTATATGTATATATATATATATATATTATAAATACATATATATATATTATAAATATAAATATATATTATAAATATATATATATATTATGGAAGCAATATTATGATATATGTGATATAAGTAACTCTCTATGATCATATTAATATTCTTAACATATTATTATACAACCAATAGTACTAATAGCAATATAAATAATAATAATAATGATGATGATGATGGTGATGATGACGACGACGATGATGAAGTTGATGATGGTGATGCAGATGACGACGATGAATAATTAATAGCTAGCTGTCTGAGATTATATGCAAGGAAAAGATGTATGTATGCGAAACATCAAAGAATTATTACTAAGGAATATATACACACAAATACACAAATTAATGTGCAACAAAATAGGCAACAAACTAAACATATACCCACAAAAAATTTACACAAAAATTCGGTACTATGTTGAAGTTATACGCTAAATACAAACCTTTAATACAAATACACAGCTTTTCTAGCCTTAATAACAGAACACAACACAGAAAAATACTCAAATGTGCTAAATGTTACCAATTAATACAAGATAATGCCGAGAAATACCGAATGACTTATGAGTAGGTCGAAATAAGTGGCGAAGCAAGAAAAGTAGAAAGTGAAATGTGGCAGTTGCATCATCACGGCGATGAAGAATGCATTGCTAGAGGCTTTGATTTCAAGTTGGAGGAAGAATATCACGTGATCAAACGTCCTCATCGTCGTCGTCATCATCACCATCGCCGTCGTCGTCATCACCATGGCATGCTCACGTCATAAAAACCAAGGAGCCATATTTCATAATTACGTTACAGTCAACCTTGTTCACCCATCATCATCATTATCATTATTTTCTTCATCATCGTCATCATCATCGTCATCATCATTTCCATCGTCATCTTTGTCATCATTATCATAATAATTATCATAATATTTTTGATTGATTGACAACAAACAAACTAACCAGCCAAACAACCAACAAACCAAACAAGCAGTTAGTCAACAACAAACCAACCAACCAACCAAACAATTTACTAACCAATCAACCAATAAACCAACCAACTAACAAACCAACTAACCAGTCAATCAAAAAACTTACATTCAAAAGAGATTTGAGCCATCCTTATCATTCCGTTACGGCAGATCCTTGATAACATTTTAATTTTCAAACATGAAACCATCATAATCCTTATAATTATAGATAATATGATTTTATTATTATCAATAATAATTATTATTCTTATTATTATTTTGTAATTGTTACTTGATATAGTTTTCAAAAACCGTTTACATTTGTACAAGAATATTGTTGTAATGCTTTAAGGCGACCAAAGCAAAACTCTCTTATATATATATATATATATATGTATATATATATGTATGTATATATGTATGTATATTGCATATATATATATATATATTATATATATATATGAGTATACATAAATGAATCATTCATTCATTCATTCATTCATTCATTCATTCATTCATTCATTCATTCATTCATTCATTCATTCATTCATTCATTCGTTTGTTCGTTCATTCATTCATTCAATCATTCATTCATCTACTCAGTCATTCATACATTTGTCCATGCATTCACTCATCCAATCATTCATTCTTTCATTCATCCACTCATTCATTCATTCATTCATTCATCCGTACGTTCGTTCCTTCTTGCCATCGTAATCGTCACAACTTAGTTTTTTCATCCCTCCTCTATGTTATATTTATTTAATTAATGAATTATTAATATTGATCGATCAATCAATCACCAAATGAATGAGAATAATAATAATAATAATAATCATAATAATAATCATAAAAAGAAGATGATGATGATGAAGAAAAAGATGATGATGATGAAGAAGAAAAAGATGAGGAAGAATAACAATAACGATACGAAATAACGATAACGATACGAAAATTTGAGTGAGATGAATAATGAACTGAACAAATGCAAGCAGGCACAAAAATGTTTGTTACATACATACATATACACAAATTGACTTTAATGTAAACATGCACACAAACATACATAAACACGTGCATACACACACACATACAAATATATGCACACACACAAACATATATGCATACATACCTTCGACAGACAAATTCATCATTTGTTTTTTCTCTGTGTTGCATGTTAGAATGGTTTAAAATTGCGCAACGGGTTAAATACATAAATGTTTGTATGTTTGTTTGTATTGTATACATATATATATATATATATATATATACATATATACATACGTACATACTTAGATACGTACGTACATACATACGTACATTCGTCCACAATACATACACTTGCATGCATTTACACAGTATACGTACATACATTCCGTCATACGCACTTATATATATATATACACATTCTTCACACATACAATATACATACATACATACATACATACATACATACATACATACATACATACATACATACATACATACATACATACATACATACAAGCAAACATACATACATACATACAAACATACATACATACATACATACATACAAACATACATACATACATACATTACATACATTCCTACAAGCTACATTGGAGTACAATGCTGCCTGTGCCTTCTGCACGCGTGTTCATGCATATGTTTGTTTGCGTGTGCGTTTTGTGCTGTTTGTATGTTTGTATATTTACGTTTTTATGTTTGGCTACTTGTGTTTGTATGTTAACGTATGTTCGTTTTGATGTTGTTGTATACTTATATGCTCATACAAGGGTTTTTTTCTTAAGAAGATAGTTGCTTTAGTAGCTTCGAAAAACGAAAAACACATGCACACACATACACACACACACGTTAACTTACACACGCCACACAAACACACACACACCACACACACATACATACATACATGAATACAAACATACATACAACTTATATTTCAGCGTTTAATTAGCAGTTACAAGAGAGGAGCAGGAAAAAATTTCAAGACCAAAAAAATCGTTAAAATATGAAAACTTAAGAGATCAGTAAAAAGAGAGCGAAAGAAAACAAGAAAGAGAAGGAGGAAAGGAGAGAGAAAGAGAAAAAAGAGAGAAAATAAAAAAGAGAGAGAAAGTAAAAACGAGAGAGAGAAAGAGGAAAAGAAAGAGAAAGAGGAATGGGAAGAATTACAGAAATTTTTTAGCAAAAAATGATTAGGTTGAATGGAGAGGACGAATGAAAGAGAGAAGGAAAGATATGTCATTGTCTGTTGAAATATACCTACATAGCATACTGTTGCAAGCAGAAATTACCAAACGCATTCAAACATACATATACACATACAAACAAACATCCATCCTAATATATATAGACATACATAAAAACATACAGACATACGTATATACCTGTTGAATTGACATCATGTGAGAACACGTATACAGTGTACTATACACATACATACCTGGGTATATACGCTTTTACACATAAGCTTGGATAAATATACAAATGTGTGTGTGTGTGTGTGTTCACTCTTAGCTGGTGCCTGAGATACAAAAACAACGTCATCGTAAAAAATATTTTTTCATTTAAATATCTCAATCATTATTATTTTAACAATACTTCGAAAAATGTTTTTTAAGCTAGCACTATTACTACTACTACTACTGCTGCTGTGCTGCTGCTACTACTACTACTACTGCTACTACTAATACTGCTGCTGCTACTACTACTACTACTACTACTACGACTACTAATACTGCTGCTGCTACTACTACTACAGCTATTACTACTACCACTACTACTACTGTTGCTGCTACTACTACTACGACTACTCTACTACTACTACTACTGCTACTGCTACTATTTCTATCACTAGCTTTACTACTATCAGTATATCTATTGCTATGTTTCTTTCGTTTTACTAGAAAGACTTCTACTGATTTGATACTGCTCTAAAAACATCAACAACAAAACACAAAAAAACATCAACATAAACAACAACAACAGCAGCAGCAACAACAGCAAATGCAAGTGCAACAAATTGCGGCAATCTATTTTTATTCAACCGTCTTTGTATGCGAAATTACAGCTCAATTTTCATTTGATGTTGTTGATGTTGTTGTTGATGTTGTTGCTGTTGATGTTGTTGCTGTTGTTGATAGTGATGATGATGACGATGATAAAAAATGAAAAACGTAGATGATGACAATGAAAATGCTTCTGAAAGTACAAAAATAAAAACACCCAAAATAACAATATCATCATCAATAGCATCATCATCGTCATCATCACCGTCATCGTCATCATCACCATCTTCATCGTCGTCATCATCATCGCCAAAGTGTCTGCACTACAATACAAAGCATCTCAACTGTTTACTCTGGAACGTCCGCCATATTTTTTTTTCTACTGTGTCACGTGATACTAATTACTATCCATACTAAAATAAATACGCAACAACAACAACAACGATGTTGATGATATGACATAGCAATGGTAATGAGACGAAACGAAACGAGATTTAATAACGACGATGACGTAATATTGATGATGACGACGACGACGATGATGATGACGATGATGCGGATGACGATGATGACGACCCTACAGAAGATAGCTTGTATGTAGAAGATAACTGTTGAGTCTATGTTTACACTGTGTCGAGGAGTATGGCAATGGAGAGCTGGCTCAGTCACGACGATGACGACGAAGATGACGTCATTGGTTATGAATAATAATAATAATAATGATGATGATGATGATGATGATAATGAATAATGAGAACTCTTTTATTTCTTCAATAGCCAGAATATAAATGAAAATTACAATTAAATATAAAATGATAAATTATTATAATAGTTAAAAGATTAAAATAATAGATAATAATGATGAATAATAATAATGAATAATAATAATATTAATTATAATATGATGATGATAATGATGATGATGGTGGTGACGATTTCGATGACGAGGAGTTGGAATATGATGGTATAAAATAGGGAAGAACTTCAAAGAGACTGATGGCAAATAATATGAAATCGTCGTTATTTTCATCATATCCACCATCGTCGTCATCATCATCGTCATCATCATCATCCTTATCGTCATTTCGATACAAGAGTCAACGGAACCGAACTAAGTTTTTCATTAATCAAGTCGAACACTGCATATTACAGAACGAGAGGGCCACTATACATACATGCAAGCATACATACTAACCCTACATACACACAAACACGCACATACATACGTACAGACACACACATACAAACACACGGATACTATCTTTCCCGTGTGAGAAGCAAGCCAAAACCAACACGAATTGTTATTATTTTCTTATTTCAAATCTGTTAAACATCATTTCAATTCCAAGAAGCCAATGAGGAGAAGACTTACAATAATAATAATAATATTATTAATAATAATAATATTATTAATAATAATAACAATAATAATAATCGACTATCTATGACAACAATAATATATATATAAATATATATATATATATATATATATATATATATATATATTAGAGTTATGAGGATAATAACATTATTTCTATTAGATTAAAAATAGGCAGATCTTAAAAGAGCTTCAATAAATCGAAAGAATTCTTGTTACATCAATAAAATGTTAATAAATAATAAATTAGCAAATCAATCAATCAATTATCTAATCAATCAATCAATCAATCAATCAATCAATCAATCAATCAATCAATCAATCAATCAATCAATCAATCAATCAATCAATCAATCAATCAATCAATCAATCAATCAATCAATCAATCAATCAATCAATCAATCAATCAATCAATCAATCATCTAATCAATCAATCTTCAAACCAACAAATAAAACAAACCATCAGTAATAATAAAAATAAATAATAGTATTCTATATTAAAAGACAGCGATTAAAATATGACTTGAATACACAAACACACACACACACACACACGCACACATACAAACACGCACGCACACATACAAACACACGTACGCATACAATATCACCAAAAACAAAAAAACTATTAGTTTCGTAAGATCCGAAAAATTTTCTATCTCACACTCCATTAACGAAATCTCCACAATAATTTGTTATGTTTAAATTTAATTAAGTTATAATTATAATTAAATAAATAAATATTTTAAATAAATCTTTAATAATATTCGAACGAATAGGAGTCAGGTCGGTATCAATTCATCGATCCGATATTTAGTTCCGTAATTATGCGAGATATAATTTAAAATATGATACAATAAAATAAAATAAATAAATAAAATCATAAAAATACTTCTTTTCATATTATCATAAACATTATTATATAGAGAATATATATATATATAAGTAGAAAGAGAGAGAGAGAGAGAGAGAGAGAGAGAGAGAGAGAGAGAGAGAAAGAGAGAGAAAGAGAAAAATAGAAAAGATATAATGTCATTAAAACGTTAAGAAAACAACCTGTATATATTAGAACCAAAAATATATAGACTCGTCGATATTGACGAGAATTATTATTATTCTTATTATCCATTATTATTATTATTATTACTAATTATTATTATTATAAATTATAATTATTATTTATTTATTTATTAGGAAAGTTTATGGGTATTTATAGGTCTATAACAAAAGCAATTTGAAAAGGAACACAAAACTTATTACTAATCTCCTATCATTACTGCCATTATAACTATTGTTATCATCATCATAATAATAATAATAATAATTATTATTATTATTATAAATAATTATAATTATTATGTTGTTAGATGTAGAAGGTTATAACATAGAAATATGTTTAAAAGGGTTAAGACATAATAAAATATATATAAAATTATTCTCTCAATCATTCAATCACTCATTAAATCGTTTCTTTCTTCCTTCACTATTCTACTCGTTCAGTCATTCATTCATTCATTAATTAATAAAACTTACAATGATCACAATGTATTTATCATTACTTATTACGAACAATTGATACATATATTTAATTATCACTATTATTGTACTAATCTATCAACTCCAAAAAAACCAATCAACAAACAAGTTTTTCTGCCAACCAACAAACAAACCAACCAATCAACCACACCAAACCAACCAATCAAACAAACCAACCAACCAGACCGGCCAGCCAATCAAGCAAAGTTATCGTTAGACATGCTAGTTAGGTATGCCTCGGGTCGCCTGTGGGTCTCGAGGGCCCTAAGGGTCGGCCCGTCGTGAGGTATCTCGGATCTGCGACGAAATTGCTGTGGCTTCTCTTTACTGTATTTCTTAAACTGGTTGAGAGGAGGAAGAGGAAGTTGAGAGAGAAAGAAAGAGAGAATTAACATCGTGATTAAAATGATGATGATGATTAAAGTGATGATTGAAATAATCGGATTGGTAACGTGATTAGGATACTGATTAAGACGATGATGATTAAGAACGATGATGATTAAGATTATTGTTCTTCAGTGTCCTTAAAAATGAAAAGGTGGATGATCATGTTCATTTCTTTCTCAAAAATTTCCATCATCCTCATCATCATTAACATTATCATCATCAGCCACATCATCATCATCATCAGCCACACCATCAACATCATCATCAAAACCTCGATAGCTTCAGCTTTCAACTTTTCCATATCAATAGTCCCAGTATCATCATCGTCGTCGTCATTATTATTACTATTATCACCATCGACACGGACGCCGTTACTGCTACCACCATTACCACCATTATCACCATTACCACTAATTAGATTAGGCGGTGGCGACGACGATGACGTCATCGTAGGTGACGATGATGACGTCATGGGCGCGGAAGTCATCATCATCATCGCCACGTTTGACGACGATGATGACCATGCATGGTGGTCCAAATGAAGCGATGATAATGATAACGTTTCTTGGTCCAGTCTGGAAGAGAATTCGTTGAACTGCAAAAAAAAGAGAGATGAAGATGATAACGATGATGATGATGTTGAAGAAGAAGATGATAAATGATGATGATGATGATAATTACTTTGGGATTATTTTTGGCTAGTGATATGATCTTCATCCACGCTCCTCGCCTCTCTAGCATCTTCGCTTTCTCACTAGAATTATGACGTCACCACAATCATCTTCGTTACTAACCATCACAGTCATCATCGTCACAGTAGTCATCCTCCTCCTCATCATCATCATCACCTTCACAATCATTACCATCACCTTCGTCATCATAATCAGTACTAACGCTTGTTTTTTCTGCTTGTATTTAGCCAGACATTCGTCAAACAACGATGGCTTTATCTCCATTGAGAGCCTCAGAGCATTATAAATCAGGCCGTGGATCGATCTGATGATGATGATTATTATGATGATAATGATGATGATGACGATGACCACAATGCGCTAATGATGATGATGATGGTGTGGACATGAATTTCTACAAGGCCATAATCACTATGGAGAATATGAACAAACAAACAAACATCATCATCACAATCATAAACATCATAATCATCATCATTGTCGCCATCACCATAATCATTGTCGTCATCACTATCATCATCACAACGTACTTGTTCCAGTGCTCCTTGCTCTGGTAAAGAGCTGGAAATACGATGGGTATGATGGTGTTGGCATTTTCACTGATCAAACTAATAACCCACTCACTGTTCCAAAAGTATAGGGCCCTCTCTGCCACCTGGCCGGTACGAAATGACGTCATCGTCGTCGTCATCATACTCGTTATCATCATCATCATCATCGTCGTCATCATCTTTTTTATCGCCATCTTAAGCGTCAACACCTTCATCATCATCTTGATTGACGTCACTATCGTACTATCATCATTAATAGTATCATCGCCATCATCTTCTCATCCTTCTCATCATCATCATCCTCATCTTCCTCATCATCTTCATCATCAACTACTACCACTCGTCAATATGAATAATGAACATCGGCATCATCATCATGTGAGTAACCTGGAAGTGAGGGCTGGCCACACACTTAGACAGCTGTCGGAACAATGGGGTCATGCATTTCTGAAATTCACTCGGTTCAATGACCTCAAGAATCTCCTCAATCTCATTCAAGAACATCACCTAATGAAGAGGATGATGAAGATGACGTTGATGATGATGATGATGAGGCTGTTGTTGTTGATAATGATGACGATGATGTTGTGTTGATGGTGATGATAATAATGACGATGATGAGGTTGTGTTGATGATGATGACGATGATGAGGTTGTGTTGATGACGATAACGATGGTGACGTCATACAAACTTCCTTGGGGCTATGAAACTTTGGCCAGAACCTTAGCAAACTGAGAATAACCTAAGTGTCGTTGTTGTTGTTTATTGATGACGATGACATCATTACTAATTTAATCATCATCACCATCATTATCTAAACCCTCACCATCATCATCTTACCCCTCCGCGTCATCATCGAAATCATCATCATTATCATTTCCCAGATTATCATATCCCAAATCATCATCAACATCTTACTCACCATCACCATCATTATCTAGACCCTCACCATCGTCATCATCATCACCATCATCATCTTATTCAACTTATTCACTCTCACCATTCATCACCATCAAAACTAACAACTTCGGTGAGTCTGGGATCTTTCTCAAGGAACTGGACGACGCAGTAAGCCAACTGAGGATGGTAAACACTCAGAGTTCTGACCTTATGCAGTGGCAGTAGAACGGTTTTCAAGAAAGACTTGTGCTCCTCTTTTAACGGCAGTGCGAATCCGTTGATTATGCTGGGTTGGTTGGTTGGTTGAAATGATTAGGATGATGATTAGGCGATTAAGATGATGTAAGGGTAATGATTGAGTAATTAAGGCGATGATTAAGACGATAAACATGGTGGTTATGTAATGGCAGTGAGTGGAACGCTTTTAAAAATGATGAAGACGACGACGATGAAGGCGAAATTCCAACACACCTGCCGAGAATTTCAAGAAGCTCTGCTATTCCGTTATGCCTCTCTGTCTCGTAAATAAATCTTTGAGATGAATGAATGAGTGAATTAATGAATGAAATGAGTGAATGAATGAATAAATGAATGAGTGAATGAATGAATGCATGATTGAATGCACGAATGATTGAATGCAATGATTGATGAAGGAGTGAATGAAGGAGTGAATGAATGAAAGGACCAACTGATAGAAAGTATTATTAATCTGTCTCCTAATGAAAGCTCTCAGACCAAGGAACTTTCCATATATCCTATGCAGTATGGTCTTCAAAAAATCTCTTTCTCTTGGATCGTCACTATCAAACAACTCTAACAGCTGATCGGTTGGTCGGTTGTTTGATTGGTTGGTTGGTTAGTTGATTGATTAGTCAGTCGATTGATTCATTGATTGATTGAATGGCTTGTTGATTGATCGATTTGTTGTATGATTAGTTTTGCCAATAAGAGATGAATAGTAGGAAAAAATTAATCACTACCTCTCATTCAAAGAAATAATTGAATGAAACATGTAACTAACTAGTCAAACAGCCTAACAACTAGTCAACTAACCATCCAATCAATCAGTCAATCAATCAATCAGTCAATCAATCAACCAAACAACCTGAAGAACAAATGATTGGTCGATGTATCGTTTGGCACTATTGGCGACGAAATCAGGGTTCTCAAGAAAACAAAGGAAGAACTCGTATACAAGCTGCAAGAAAAAAGAATCAATTAATCAATCAATCTACCTATTAATTAATCAATCAATCCACAAATCTTACCATTAATCAGTCAGCCAGTCATTCATTCATTCAGTCAGTCAGTCAACAATTCAGACAGCCAACCAATCAGCCAACCAATCAGAGACCTGCAAGTGGGGCCAGGCAGCTTCCAGTAGCGGCTCATCTTCCTCTGGATCGAACTCCGTACTGGCAGTCCCGGCAGTCGACGATGACAACGTTCGGAATGTGTTTACAGAGAACTAGAAACAAAACAAATTAAGAAACATTTCAACAACCATATACTACATACAAACACATCTACATACATACAAACATACAAACAAGCATACAAACAAGCATACAAACACACCTATACATATATAATCTAACACGTCTACATACATAAAAGATACAAACAAACATACAAACACACCTTTACATATATACTCAAATACATACAAACACATCTACAAACATATAAAGATACAAACATACAAACACACCTACATGTATACTCTCAAACATACATAAAAACCCATCATTGTAATACACACCTGTATACAAATTCACATACATACAAACTGACTTACCATAGTAATGATGGCTGGATAAACAGGATCGGTCAGAACATTCCGATTATTAGAGATGTACTCAACTAATTCATTTAGTGTTGCTCGTTTTACCTCTTTGTACTTAATATCACTCGAGGCCTCTCTCTGAAAATCGAATATGACCGAGCCCTGCTGTATCTTCTGAAGGAATAAAGATTCTTTGTCAGCTGGAGATGCCTCTGTTAGTGTTTTGTTTTGTATCTTTGTTTAGCATTTTTAACAATTTCACAACAACGTAGACAACAGCATAGTTAAAAAAAAACAACAACAGCAACCTTTTAGCAAGGGTAATCTAAGAAGCTCTCTATTACTACTGACATTGAATCGTGAAGAGCTCTGTCGTTTCTCTTTCTTTAACTTTAAAGTTTCAGGAAGTGGATTTATTCGATTTAATGGTGTTGGAGGTGGGTGTTGAGCATGATTTGGATGATTAGGGTGATTGGGAATTGATGATGATGAAGAAGAAGATGATGATGCTGCAGTAGAGGATGTTGTTGTTGCTGCTGCTGCTGCTACTGTAGTTGTTGCAGATTTCTTCTTTGACGAACTTTTGTTAGTCTGTTTAGTTTAGTTTAATATAGGATTATCTATGTTATTTAAACTTGCATATATGAGTATTTGTATATAAAACATATAGATTTATTATTTAGAAGAGTGTTAATGTGAAGTTAATAAATAAAAAACCATACAATCCAACCTGTGCATATTAAATTATAATATTAGTATATCTTTGAAATACCAATAAGGAAGGTTGGATAAAAGGCAAATGTAATGTAGTAAATAGTAATTATTGTTATTATTATTGTTACACTAACATCGCTTGCTTCTTCCTTCTCCTTATCTTTTGAAGACTTTGCAGCACTCTTATCTTTATCTTTCCCGGATGTCTGTAGGTTAAAAAAGTTTAATTTGCGAAGCCATATTAAAGGCTAATTTTGCAATCATTGATTTAAATATTTTTCAAATTAATTAGGTAAAATATTTAAATACTATTTGCGTGAAAATACCAAAAATGAAACAATTTTTTGAGATAAATCAATATTTTCCAATTGAATTCAATTCATGAATCTGACTGAACACATTTTTTAACACTTTCAAACCTGTTGACGTGAAACTTACTTTATCTTTTTTGCTTAATTTCGGTAGTGTGGGCATTTTTGTGGCCTTAGAAAAAATTTTTGATAAAACAAATGAACGAATTTTCAATAATTTAATAAAAATATTCTGCAATATCTTCAATTAAAAAGCACTATGATACATAACAAACTCCTATTGGTTCACAATCGATCACGTGCTTTTTTAAACAAAAAGTTAACTTAGCTTGTAATGATATGTTTTATTATAATTTTATAAATTCCCAAAGCTTTTGCATGTGTGTTTGACTGTTTAATTAAAATTCAATGCAAATATAATTTAAATTGTTAATATTTTTTTATTTGTCGTGTATTTAAAGAGCAAAATCATATTAATTGAAATTAACTGAAACATCACTTTTTAAAATTCCCAATTACTGATAGATATGAGTTAGGTTCATTTTTAACTATTAAACAGAGCCACGAAGTCACATTATAAACAAATAAAGATATAAAATAAATAATCGCACCTAATTTCAATTAAATAATCAATTTAAAAGTCAATTTAAATTCCAAATTAATAACTTTCTTAAACTTAATTTATCAATTAATCAAAATCTGAATTTCTAAAACATCAAAATGTCCTGGCTACAGACTGGCCTGTCCAGTTTAACAGGACAGCTCGGAAATTTTACGAGGGAGGTGCTGACCGAAGGCACTGAAGAAGTTGACGGTTTGTACTCCCTGGAAAAAAAATTAAAATGCCTCTGGTATGCTTGCACAACACGCCGTTCTTAAGCTCCTCCTTCTTAACTTTTGTTTCACCACAGATTTTTAAATTTGTTTAATTTTAATTCTTAACTAAATCTAATATTTATGATTTAGTATAATTTAATTATCATCATTAATACATGTTAATTGAATAAATCAAACAAGTCTGTAACTAAGGCCAAAAATGTCCTCACACAACCTCTTAGAATTGATAATAACCTCACAGTTTGTCATTTGAGTTCATACTGGATTACCTGAAAATCCCCTTCTAACTAACACTCAAAAATTATTTTTAAATACCTAAATTATTTTTTTTTATTATTTGACAAAAAATCTAGAAGTATGGTTTTAATCTATTTTAAAGATTTAGGAACGGAGTTAAAGTTGATGCGAAGTCGAAATAATGAACTTGAAACACTAAATGCAGCCCTTAAAAAAGAGGTAATAATACTTATAATAATAATGTATGATCATCATTATTACCATCATTGTTTCTATCATCATCATCATTACCATCATTGTTAGTATTTATTTTTCATCATTTTTCACCATTATTTTTCATGTATTTATTTATCATCACAATTTCTTTTTGAAAATTTTTACTTATATTTCTGAAAAAAAGTATTTCCTTGTTTAATTTAATTTTCCAATTTGTCCCTTCCCACTCTCTAGGTGGAGCAGCTGAAAGAGCATATAGAGAACCAAGCGTTGCAGTTAGAGTCGAAAGAACTTCAACTACACCACATCATTTCAGAGTACAGGGACAAGCTAACTGAAAAGGAGGTACCTAATTATAATATTATAATTTTTGTATGATTTTTTGAATAATTAATTGAGTGGGTTTATTGATTCACTGGCTGGCTAGTTGGCTGGCTGATTGATTGATCAGCTTGATTTAAAGAATACTACTAACCATAATTATTTAATAATAATTATTATTATTATAATGATAGAGAGAATGTATGAAACTGAAAGAGAAAGAAATACAGCTAACAGAAGCACTCCACCATCATTCTCATCACCATCATCGAGAATCTGAATCATCACAGAGTGGGGTTTTTGAATAAATTATGATAATTATAATGATAGTAATGTTTATTTTTTACGTATTTTTTGACAACAATTTCATCCATTCATAATCATAACCTTTCTGTCTGTCTGTTAATCTAATTGACTATTATTGAAAACCGCAAATTTAAACATTCAAATGATCAAATAAAAATCAATGAACCCACTCAATTAGTCATTCAAAAAGTTTTTCATTATAAAACAATTATAATATTATAATTAGCTACTTCGATAATATATTTTATCGTGGCATTGATTACCCTTGAAACGCCACCTCTTCTACCTGCCGACCGACCGACCGACCCCCAGATTCGAATTGTGAATTAGGCATTGGTGATGACAGTAGTGAAGATGTCTTCTTCCTCCAGCACAAAGTCTCAAGCCTCTCTGAGAAGATTAAAAAACTCGAAACTGAACTACAAAAATACAAAGACAAAGCAACATCAGTCGTTGGTTACAACGGTAGTAGCGGTATTACTACAAATACTACTACTACTACTACTACTACTGCTACTGCTGCCTTAGATGGTGATAGTAACAATAGTGGCAGTAGGATTGGCAGTAGTAATGATAGTAATACCAAAGTCAGTATATTCAATTATCTTATTAGTATTACTTTGTTTTGTATCTTGTATGTTTTTGTATTTCTCAGAAGCTTCAACAACAAACGCACGCGCGCACACGCACGCACGCACGGCAGTGTTAGGCATTTTAACCATCCCAGCATTATTATTATTCAATTAATCTTATTTGTTAATCTAGCACCTCGAGGAAACCATGTGCAATCATTTAAACCACCATCAGCAAGAACTGGCCTCTCTTCAAAACACTCACAGCCAGAATTTGGCCTCGTTAAAACGCCACTACGGAAACATAATTGATGAACTGAATGAAAGGATAAAGGAGTTAGTGACGAACGAAAGGAATGCGAACAGTGAAGGAGGAAAAAAAACGAATAAAAAAGAAAATGATAGTAATGATGATGATGATGATGGCGAGGGCAGTACTAGTAACGATCCCAGCAACACAGACGTTAAAAATGAACAAAATGTTGAGCGAGAAACAGCGGAAACAACTACTACCTCTTCAAATGCAGTCAACCAACCTACCACAACTACCACCCAAAACGACTTCAACATTAGTAGCGGCAGCAGCAGCAGTAGCAGCAGCAGCAAACAAACAAACAACGACAGCAGCAGCATTATTTCATCACTGCAGAATAAGCTGGAAGATTTAGAGGCACGCAATAAGAAATTGGAACATGATTGGGCCCAGGTGCACGCTGTAGATAGGAAGAAGACTCAGATGATTGAGAAACTTCAGTCGGAGTTAGATGTTTGCAAGTCGGATTTCAACGTGGTTGGTTGACTAGTTGATTGATTGGTTGTTTGTCCGCTTGTTGGTTGGTCTATTGGCTGGTTGGTTGATTTATTTATTGATTTAACTGGTTGTAATATTTCGTTTTAAAATTTTTCCCTCCAGCTGACTGAAAAACTGCGGATAGAATCAACGCAGCGAGACGATGCGGATAAGGAGTTCGAGGCACTTCTTGAGGAGAACAGGGCGCTGATGGAGCAACTGTCGCAGATGAAAATAAAAATGAAGGAACTCAACAATTCTGAACAGCTGAAGGAGGCCCATCTGAAACGACTGCAACAACAACTACTTGATCAACAACAGCAACTTGATGAGCAACAGAAACTTGAGCGACAGCAGCAGCAGCTGCAGCAGGAAGCAGACATCATCTCAACAGCTAACGAAAGCAACAAAGATTTAAACGAGTATCAAACTCAGATAATTCAACTAAAGAACGATTTAATGTCTGTAGAGAACGAAAGATTCAGTGAATCTGAAGCATTCAACCAATCAATCAGCCAACTTCAATCAGAGGTTGAACGGTTGATTGATGAAAACGAAACTCTCAATCGATCAATTACAGAACTCAAAGACACATCTGGCATCGAAATAGCTGATCTGAAAGCTCAGCTAAACATGTCTAACAAGAAATGCGCCGATGTTGAGCTGCAGTTAGCCGAGACTTCAGAGCTGTATGCAGAGTGTCGGAAGATAAAGGAGAACATCGAGTTGGTGCTGGCCGCCGAGAGGAAAGATAGGGAGGTTGGCGCTGTTGTCGAGAGGGAGCTCTTGAAGCAGAAATCAACTGAGTTAGAGAAAAGTTTGCAGCAGGCAATCCTCGAAGCTGATAAAAGTAAGAGCAAACTGATTGAGATCACTGAAGAGAATACGAAACTCCTGGAAGAAGTTGAACTGTTGAGGATGAAAAAATCTGTTGATGTTGATGCTCTTGAAAATGATGGTGACGGTCGACGCGAAAATGTTGAAAAACTCGAAGCTGAAATGAAAGTGTTAAGGAAAAAAGTAGAGCAGTTGGAAAGGGAAGATTCCCAGAAGCTCTCAGATATGAAAATGAAATTTGAAACTCTAAAAAACGTCAACAAACAATTAGAAATGGACAACAAAACTTTAAAATCTTCGAACGACAGCATGCAACAACATCTCCAACAACTGCAACAGAAACATTCCCCAGTGAGATCACCCGTCAACAACAACACACCCGTTGTTGTTGTTGACGACGACATTTCGACACAGTTAACACAGATCTCAACGTTGAATTCAACAGTTGCCAGGCAAGAAGATGTCATAAAAACGTTGAATGACAAGTACAACAACATCCTCCGCTTGCTACAGAGCAAATCTTTGGAACAGTTCGGCAACGAACAAGTGCTCATGAACTTGCATCAGCTGCAGATAGAGGTAATTTCATATATGTGTGTATGTGTGTGCGTGTGTGCAGTTTATTTGTACAAGATTGAATTTATTTATATTTTATACACACACACACACACACATACACGCACGCACGCACATACACACACACACGCACACATACACTTTTAACTTTCTAGATTGACAGCCATCACCAAGAGAAGGATCACATCATGTCGATATTAAACGACAAATCGCGAGAGAACAGCAATCTAAAATTGGAGGTTCACAGCCTCATGAGCGCTCTTTCAGCTAGCAAAGCAGCCTTCAGCAAGCAGCAACAGCAGCAGCTGCTGCCACCACAGCAGCAAACAAATTTAGATGTTGACGACAGAGCTGAGAATGATGAAATGAAGAAGGAAGCAGTGAAGAAATTGGCGCAGATTATTAAAGATAAGGATGTTGAGATTGAGGCTCTCAACCAAAAGAATGTAACTTTGTTGCAAGTTGGTGTTGTTGTCGTTGTTGTTTTTAATGACGTCACGTCGTCATCAACGTCGTCATCTTCCTCCTCAACTGCTACCACCATCCAGGTCCTTCAGAACGAATCAACAGAATCGATGAACAACGAGATGAAGCGGTTGATATCGGAGAGAGAGGTCCAGCAGCAACACATCAGCTCTCTTCAGCAACAGACAACATCACTACGACAACAAGTCAACATGTTGAGCAACAATGTTGAGGAAAAAGTGGACGAGTGCAACATTCTAAAAGTGGATCTATGTAAGGAGAAGAATGCCTGCCTCGAGATTAAGACTGAGTATGTGTTTTTTGGTGTTTTGAAAAAGTTAGTTTATTTTATGTCGTCGTCATTGTTGTCGTCGTTGTTGTTTAATAATTTATTTCATCATCATGGTCATTATTATTTTTATCATTCGCACTTGTTTCGTCATCACACTTTCATCGTCGTCATCATCATCTTTCAGATTGGAAAGCCTGGACAGGTCCCACAAACTACTGACCAATCAGCTCGAAGATAAGGAGAGAATGATTTTAAAGCTTCTACGAGAATTATCTAAACTCAAGTCTCAAAACAAACATCATCATCATCATCCTCATCATCCTAATCATCATCACCATCAGGGTGCTATAAAGAAAAGTAGTCGCAACAATATTGACGACTATGATGAATGTGATGATGACAACAACGACGATGATAATGATGATAAACTTAAAAATTCTGGTAAAGATCATAATAAAATTGACGATGATGATAAAGATGATGAGGCTGATGATGACCGTATTTCAGAATGCTCTTTCACAATAGGCGGTCTCGATGATGATGATGATGATAATGATAACGACGGCGATGCCGATGATAACGACGAGAAAAATGTCGTCGCCGGTGATGGTTGTAGTAGTGGTGGTGGTAGTCGCGACAATGGCGGTTTTGAGGTGAGTGAAACGAGAGCTAATTATTGGTGGGCTAAGAAATTTTGGTGGAGGTGATATGGAGGGATTTTTAGTTTATTTTTTTTTTTAGGGGCTGTTGGTTTTTAACGATAATAATAATAAATAATAATAGTAATATAAATGATAAATAATAGTAATAATAATAATAATAATAATAATGAATATTATTGGGGGAGGATTTTCAACAAAAAAAAAACTGATTTCCTATTTAAGATGGCTGTGCGAATGATCCGCATGTCGAAAATATTAAAAAAATATTTTTATGAAAATAATTATAAAAACGAAATAATAAAAAATAATAATAATGGTAAATGAAATTTTAAAGAAATTTTCAACAAAACCCAAAAAAAATCGAAAAATTCGCCACAAAAACAGAAAAAAAAACAAATGAAAACTTTAACAAAAATTCATTTTGATAGCTTTCAGTTACTTGACTTTGCGTTTTTCTCGAGTTAAGTTTTTATTTTTTAGGTTCATATCTTTTAAACTAGGCAAAAACTTTTCAAAAAACTTGTTTTTATTTCAAAAAAATTTGCGTTAATTTTCAGAACGCTGATTTACGCTGAACGTTTGAACACAGCTTCTCGATTCAAGAATCAGTTTTTTCTCTCTCTCAATTTGTTCATATACGTGTGCATGATTTAGCTTATCGCTTGTTTTATTTCAATTTTAATTTCGATTCGTTTAAATTTTTGTTTAAAGTTACTACACACACGCGCGCGTTCACACACACGCACACACGTAAACACACACACACACACACTCCTACTCTTACATAGTTTCCAAGAAAGGGCATAAAACAACAAATAAAAAACCCGAAAAATATCCCGAAAAAAAATCCAAAAACATTCCTCAACGACAAATACATCATCGCCGACAACTCTGACGTCACGGAGAGCGTATTCGAGAAACTTCTACGTGAAAGGGATCAAATTTTGCAGGGGAAGGAGAGGAAGTTATCGGAACTGAGAAACCAGGTCTTGTCACTGGAATCAGAGATAATACATCTGCGATCCAAGCTGTCATCTGCCGATACAAACATCATGCAGAAGGTTAGCGCCGAGAAGATGTTTCTCTTATTTATTATAGCGTATTACGTATCTTATTATAGTTAATTATATTTCGATTTAATCTATTTAGTATGTTTATTAAAAAAAATATCGGACCGTTGGGAGAAAACTTCAATCACTCCAGGAGAGCGAATTAACTTATGCCAAGAAACAACTCGAAACTGCAAACTCGAAACTGGGTCACGAACTTTTAATTAGGTCGGATCACGAGAAGGAACTAACTGAACTTAATAAAAGGTCAGTCAGATTGTACATACATACACACATATACACACGCACATACATCTAATCGAAGATATACATACATCTACATATACAAACAAACACATACATATACACACACACACACTTCATACACAGATATGAAGAGAAACAGAAAGAGTTATCAGAGCAGAAGCAAGCTAACATGTTGCTATCAACGAAACTCAACAACCACAACTACGAAATTAGCGAGTTGAAACATCAGATCGGCAAACATTCGCAACAAGAAATATCACTCCAAAATGAAATTCAACTTTTAAAATCTCAACTTGCAACTACGGCCGCTACCACACCAGCAGCAGAAGCAACCACGCCAGCGGCAGCAGCAGTAGCAGCAGCTACAGCAACAGCAGCTACAGCAGCAGCAACTGCATCGTCTCAGGATTCGTCAACACTTGCCAGCGATGTTGATAGCAACATTCCGACAACAACATCGAATATCATTCCAGATCAGACTGCTTCGCCATCATTTCAACAAACATCATCAACGTCAAATCTATCAGAGGAAATTGAGCGATTGAAGAGAGAGAAAGAAAGTAGAGAGAGTGAGTTAGTGAGAGTGGTGATGTTGATGAATCAGGAGAGAGACCAGCTGATTCTTGCGTTGCAATTTCATCAGAATGAAGCACTAGAACTTAAAAATACGGTTGGCTTGTTGACTGCGTAATCCATTCATTCGTTCGTTCGTTCATTCGTTCGTTCGTTCTTTCGTTCATTCATTCGTTCGTTCTTGTGTTCATTCATTCATTCGTTCTTTTGTTTTTTCGTTCGTTCATTCGTTCGTTCTTGTGTTCGTTCTTGTGTTCATTCCTTTATTTGTTCTTTCGTTTATTGATTTATTTACTCATTGGTTCACTCAGCTAAGCAGACTCCAAGATAGAGAGAAGAAACTAATGAAAGAATGCGATAGACTGAGAGAACACCTATTGGAAATGGAAGAAGGCTATAATAAAGAGATGCTGGATGCCGAGGCGAGGGAGAAGATGTTGAGGAGTCAGCTGATTGCTGCAGAGGACAAGATTCAATCGCTCAACCAGTCGGTCATTACTGACAGGTTGGTTTTTTTTCTTTATTTGTTTACATACTCACTCATTCATTCATTTGTTCGTGCGTTCATTCATTCATTCATTCATTCATTCATTCATTCATTCATTCATTCAACTATTTAATCACTTAGATCTGACTTAGCTAAGCAAACGGAAAGTCTACAGAACCAGCTACATAGCATGATCGAGCAGCGAGATAACGCTCTCAACCAGCTCAGCTCAGCTCAGGAAACCATTAGCGGCTACTCCAGCTCACTATCTAATTTACAGATGGTTCTGGAACAATTTCAATCTGGTTTGCTTTGATGATGGTGATTGTGTATTGATCGATTGGCTATCAACTGCATATGATCAATCCTTAATAATCAAACAATCATTGGACTCACTCAGTGACATACTTAATCAATCAACTATTCAATCTATCTATCAATCAATCAATCAACTATTCAATCTGTCAATTAATCAATTAATCAATCAACTGACCAATCAATCAATCGATCAGTCAATTATTCAATCAATCAACAAACGAATCGATCGACCATTCAATCGACCGAACACTCAACAGAACGTTTCAACCAGCAGTCACTGGAAGTTGAGAGGTTTCAAGTGGCCTTCAATAAGAAGCAAGTGGAGTGCCAACAACTGCAGCAACAAGTTCAACAATTACTTGTTAGTGGTAGTAGTAGTTGTAGCGGCAGCAGTAGTAATAGCAGCAGTAGCAGTAGTAGTTGTATCAGTAGTAGTAGTAGTAGTAGTAGTAGTAGTAGTAGTAGCAGTAGTAGTAGTAGTAGCAGCAGTAGTAGTAATAGCAGCAGTAGTAGTAGCAGCAGTAGTAGTAGTAGTAGTGGTGGTGGTCAGGGCTACTACCCACCACCATAATCCTCATTTTCATCACCACCAGGTTCAGATGGAAGACCACACAGAGGCCATCAGGGCAGCCCAGAGATTGAGTGAGCAGATGAACAAGAAAGAGTACATGATAACCGCCTTGAGAGAGGAGGGTTATTATTGTTATAATTGTTATAATTATTATTCTTATTCTTCTTTTTCTTCTTTATTATTATTATTATTATTATTATTATTATTATTATTATCATTGTTATTATTATTCATCAGTACACATGCGGGAGGTTGAATTAAAGAAGACGGAAGAGGAAATAAGAAAACTCATCTCCAGCACCGAGGCCAAAGTCGATAAGTCAGTGGGGTGACGTCATAATAATAATAATAATTATTATAATAATTATAAAAATTATAATAATAATAATGATAATAGTGATGATAATGATGATGGTGGCTGTGATGGTGACGACAATGATGATGACGACGGTGACGATAATGACCATGATGATGAAGAGGATTATTTTTCTTCTTCTTCTTTTTCTTATTATTATTATTGTTATTATTATTTTTAACAGGGTTCTGATGAAGAGTCTTCTGATTGGCTACTTCCACGCCCCGCCCACCAGTAGACTCGAAGCGTTCAGGGTCATAGGGCACGTTCTGAACTTCACGAGTGATGAATTGAAAAATGTAATTCTATTACCATTATTTTTTAGCATTTGGAACGTTGTTATTGTTTATTATTGTCAATATTTGTTATTATCTGTCATTATTATTCTTATTATAATGTGATGATTGATGCGAACGAATTGATGTGTTTTGTCTTTCGAAAATTAAAAATAAAATTAAATTTAATTAATTTATTTAAAAAATTAAATTATATTTTTTTTCGCTTATTTGTATTCCAGCTGGAAAATCCAGAACACGGGAACAAGAGTGGATGGATTGAAGGAATTTTTGGAGGAAAGAAATCATCATCATCGGCAGCAGCATCATTATCATCATCACAGAAAGCTTTTAACAAGGTACTATCGACGAAGTTTGAACTATGGGAATAACATCTTCGTCGTCGTCATCTTAGTATTTGTATATTGTCACTATAATCTTCATCATTACCATCTTCATTAAAGTCGTTATAATCACTGTCATCATCATCGTCGTCATCGTCATCATAATTACATTATCATTACGCCATTATTACGTCACCATGCAGTCGTTCTCTGAGTTATTCGTTTCCTTTCTGGAGAGGGAGTCGACACCTCAAGCGAGTATTCGTCTGCCCATCGACGATATTCATCCGCCGAACAGAACATCATCGTCGTCATCATCGTCATCACCTTTTCCACAATCATCGTCATCAAGACAGGCTCCTATAAATCCATTCTCTATGCCCATTCCTCTGACGTCATCGACGCCGAACAAAACGCACCCAATCATCGTCGGCCACAGCAGTCACCACCACCACCAACAGCTGCTGCAACAGCAGCAGCCAATTTTACTTACAAACCAGCAGATTGTGCCCCAAATCGTGCCCCTTATAATTACGAAATCATCTCCCAGCAGTAGTACAGGTAGTAATAATTACCTTATCAGCAGCTGCAACAGCAGCTGCAACAGCAGCAGCAGCAGTAGTAGTATAACAACCATCAATAGTCTCAGTAGTACAAATATTACCAAAGATAACAACAACAACAACAACAACAATACAAATAATAATAATATCAATCTTAATGCAAGCAAAAGCAGAACTGGAGCGTACTCTAGCAATAGTTTAATTAGCTTGTACGACGGCGCTATAAGCAGTAGTGGTAGCAGTAGTAGTGGTAGTAGTGGTAATAGTAGTAGTGGTGGTGGTAGTAACTATGGTAGAATTACTACAGATAAAAATACTTCTCAATCTTTAAAAGATAGCTTTGTTCCTATTGTGATTGCAGCCGCTGTAGCGGCTGCCAGTAATACCACTAGTGGCAGCAGTAGTAGCGGCAGTAGTAAAATTGGTAGTATTGGTGGTAGTGGTAGTAGTTATCGTAGGTGAAGTTCTGGTTTAGTAGATGGTTAAATATTTATATGTATATTATTTAATGAATATGTATGTATTAATGTTTATATATTCAATTGAAATTAGTATATATCGCAATATATATATATGTGTGTGTTTGTGTGTGTGGGTGTGTGTATGTATATATACGTTGTATATATATATATATATATATATATATATATATATATATATATATATATGATAGTATTTAACCACAGTTATTCTCATAAGAAATTGTTATATTAACCAATCTGTCTTAATTTCATTTCTGAGTTTCCATTTTGACGATTGATAAATTAGTTCATTGATTGAATAGTTGGGTGATTGGTTGGTTTTGGTTGGTTGATTGATTAAATTGTTAATTGGTTGATTGATTGATTGACTGAATGATTGATTGATTGACTAATTAATTGATTGTATTGTGTGTTGATTTTGTAAGCTAATACATGCTTGGAAATAAAATTTTAAAATTTCACTTCGTTTTGTTTACCATGGTATACGTGTGCGTATACGTATTCGTTGGCGCGTTTTCTTGTTCGTTCGTTCGTTCGTTCGTACTTTCGCGTTTGTTTGTTCATCCGCTCGTTTGTCAATTAATCAGAAAATTGTATTTAATTTTAAATGATTTAAAACATTTTTTTGCTCGAACATTTCTTTTTCAAATTGAAGAGATTGTAACGGAGAAGCAACATTAATCGTATCGTAATGGAGTTACGTGTCTGTCGTCAGGACCACCGAATGATGAAGAAAGAGAGAGACTGAATGAATGAATGAACGAACGAATGAATGAAAAAACAGGAAAAGAAAAGGAGACAGGCAAAAAAAGTGGGAAAGAGAGAGAGAAAGAGTGAGAGAGAGAGAGAGGGAGAGAGAAAGGTGACATAGTGTGTCAACAAAGTGTCATCATTGCCAAGCCAGTTATGGATAGTGAAGAACCGTCAACAATCACGACAACAACAACAATAACAACAACAACAACAATAATTATACTGATGATGATAATAACATTAACGACAATAATAATATTTACACACTTATATGTATTAAGTTGTCAACATAAAAATCATGACTATTATCTCAATAATAATAATAATAATAATAATCATCATCATCACAACCACCATCATCATCATCATCAACATCGTCACAAAACTTATTATTGTTAGTAAACGCCTTCTCAGCTAATCCTTGTTTAAGTAGTGCCGTAGAGAGATGAACGAACTTAAGCAATAGCAATGTGGCATATTTATTTAAACACACACACACGCATACACACGCACACACATACACACGCATCATCATCATCATCATCCTTAGAATATTTACACGGCGCTAATTTTAAAAAGTTAGGCATACACACATATACATACATAGTGACATCCATCCGACAAACATACCTGCATCATACGTACAAACAAACATATACACTTACATATAAACATAAAGGCGTACATACATGCATCATTTATACAAACAAACATTCGTATATATATACATACATACATACACATATATATATGTATACATATAGTACAATATAGACATATATATATATATATAATATATATTTATTTATTTAGGCCTTTATGGCGGAAAGATAAATAGTTTAATGAGCATATATAGCAAAGGATGCAATTAGCGAAGTTGTCGTAACGATTACTTAGTTTCTTATTATTATTATAATTACTATTGTTATTATTATTATTATATTTAACCATCATCATCATCGTCGTCAAAAACACTACTATCATCATCGTCGTCATCATCATCACACAGTCACTCCATAATCGCCACTATCGTCAGTATTATGATTAAAAACAAAGGCACCGACGTCATTACTATTACTACTACTACCACCACCACCGCCGCCGCCAAAAACGCTACTACCACTACCGCCAATGTAGGCATCACCGTCATCATCACCACCGTAATTGTTATCATAACCGCCCCTGACCCCAACGTCCTCTCTTAAAAGTTTTGTGGCAGTGAAAGCCTCCATCCAAGGAAAAAGAACCACCATAGAGACGATAATAAATATGAGGTAAACATAGAATAAAAAGCGATCCAGGACGAGAGCCACCAGACGCCATTGTTGATCTTGTAAATCTTTTTTGTCTTTGGTCTTCAGTTTGACCATAAATGATTTCAATGTGCGTTTTATTTCCCGCGTTTCAATGGCAATTTGCCTGTCATACTGAAAAGCAGTGTCGTCGTTGTTGTTGTTGTTTTCTGTTGTTGTTGTTGTTGTGTTGTTGTTGTTTGTCGTTGTTGTGGCGCATTTCGAGTTGCATGTTACGGCATGAGGGCGTGCGTTTTGATGATGCTGTTGTCGTTGCTGCTGCTGCTGTCTCAAAATGCTATCGAGCGGCGAGTATCGTTGCATCACATTCTTATTTTCTTCTTGAAAATTTTTAATAAACTGCAGTGGCGAACAATCAATATGTCTGCTGTTTTCCTGGTTTCCATTGTTGTTGTTGTTGTTGCGTGTTTGTATCGCGATGTTGTTGCGGTTGCTGCTGCAGTTGCATGAGTCGACTGTGGGAATTGAGCAAAAGCAACAAAATTTTGCCGCCAAATCTGTTGAGGAATTGTTATTACGCCTTGGAGGATAAGAGTTGCATAGACTGTCTGATGAGTCGCAACACGAACAACAACTGCAACAATCTAATTGTGCTGCTGCTGCTGTCGTTGCTGCCGTTGTTGGAATGTTGTTAAGCATGTAGTGGTTAATTGTTGTTGTCGTGTTGATTGGCGGTTTTAATATTGTTGTTGTTGTTGTTGTTGTAGTTGGGGTTGTTGTAGGCCTTACTAGGCAGCAATGCTGGTTTTGGTGAAGATGTTGTTGCTGGTGGTAAGCGTGGTATGAGATGATTGTGTTGTTGTTGTTGCTTTTGTTGTTGTTGTTGCTGCTGCTGATGTTGTTGTTGCAATGGTACTTGATAGGAGAATGTTCTGGCAAGATAGTTCTAAAATTTTGTCTTGGATAGGTTTGTGTTGTTGTTAAGTGCAGTTGTTGTTGTTGCTGCTGCTGTTGTTGTTGTTGCTGAACGTACTGCATTAACTGATGATGACGTTGATGATGTTGGTGAGTGAGGCACTGACAACGATGACGACAATGATGATGATGATGATGATGAAGTTGATGACGTAGCGACAACGACGACGATGAAGCGACCTCAGCGGCGTGCATGTAGCATCTATTAAATTCGTCAACCTCCTCTTCGCAGCCACTGCAACGACGGTGAGGATGACGATGATGATGCTGATGATGATTGTGATTATGATGATTATGACTGCGATGTTGCTGACGATGGCGGCTACAAAGATGGCTGCTGTCTACGCGACAACACGTCACAGCTCCTTTTTTCTCTACGTCCTCTCTGTCGCAATCTTTTTCCAAACTACTTACCACTAAATTTTCTTCGCTCTGACGAGCAATCGAACCAGCACGCGTCGCACTCAAACCGAGTTCAGTACTGACAGGTCCTTTGCCGCTTGAGCTAGGAATCGTTTCCCATTTGTTGTAATCTAAAACTGGAGATTTTATTTTCGTCTTTTTCTTTTTCTCTCGGCATAACAACTTCCGTTTTTTCCCTTCTGTGACTACGACGTGGGTCATGTGATGAGTCACGTGGTCTTTTTTGGGTCGCGGTGACGTGGCATGTTTTGATTGACTGGTGGAATTTTGGTGGTTTGCTGGTGTCGAAGAATATGGAAATGGTAGTAGTGAAGATGTGTGGTTGTTGTGGGATTTGCTGGTTGGGTGTGGCTGTGGTGGTACCCGGCCCAAATTCACCGCCTGTGCCATGCCGAAGAAATTGGCAAGGTTGTCGATGGCTATCTGCGAATGTTGTTTCGTTAGTGACATTAACGTTAATGTTATTTTTGCTACAGCAATTTAATGACATTAGCATACTAATCGTGACATTAAACACAAAGGAAGCATCAACTGCCAAAAACTATCTTCTATCAAAAAAGATAACTCGTACAACTAAAACCACAAAAACAACAGCAGCAGCAGCAACAACAACAACAGCAACAACAACAACAGCAACAACAACGGAAAACTTCCTAGCATAAGAAAAGGCGGCGATGTATGGAACAATAAAACGCTATGGTGCTTTTTTATTTATCACAATTTCAAGAAAATTTCTTCCTCCTCCTCATCATCATCTTCTTCATCCACTTCTTCCTCATGACATCATCATTGTCATCATCTTCACCATCATCCCTACCCTTTTTTCATCATCATCTCCGTCACCATAATTTCAAAATTTTCAACATAAATAACATTGTTTTAATGCTTTCGAAAGTAATTGTTACGAACAAAGTGCGTAATTGTCTAAAGCAGTGTTGGTAATTTTTGTAGTAGTAGTAGTAGTAGTTGTAGTAGTAGTAGTAGTAGCCGCAGTATCTGCAACAGCAGCATCAGTAGTAGTAGTTGTTGTTGTAAAACTGGAAGTAATAGCAATAGCAGCATTGAAAGTGGCAAAGCATGTTGTTATTTAAATAAATGATGAGTTTTCCTTTTTTTTTAGGGGGAATTTCGTTTGAAATTTATTCAAGTTCTTATCGACCAACCATCCATCCATCCGCCTACTCATTCATTTGTTCATTTATTCATTCATTCCTTCATTTACCCATCCATTTATCCATCATTTTATTCATAGTTCCATGCATTCGTTTAGTCATTCTTCTGTTTTTTCGTTCATGCGTTCGTTCAGTTTATCAATTATTTATTAATTTATCCATTTTTTCAAATGTTTGTTCATTAATTCATTCATTCACTTACTCGATGATTCATTTATTTATTCTTCCACTCGTTCACTCGTTCATACATTCATCTTTCCTTTCGTCAACTTCGGCCCGAGACAGCATATGATGAAGAGAAGATGCGGACAAGATTGTTGTCGCAGAATCCCGTCACCACGTGATATGTGGGGATCTCACTGCATTTGAAGGCGGTCACTGCAACATCGCTGCCAAGCACCTTAACCATTATAACATGGCGCGCTGTCATTATCTAATAAGGCGGTAGTCACCTACCGAATACAAAAAATCGTGGTGAATCTTAGATTTGTTTGAGATTTTATCTACCTAATTTAGCATTTTAATTTTGACATTTTTCAGAGAATTCTTAAAAAAATTATCTTAAAACTGCGAGAAAATCTTTTTTAGAAGAAAGAACGAAATGAAAAAAGCTTGTTTCATTGATCTCTACATTGGCGGCCGGTGTCGTGGTTGTCGACGCTGCAACAGCCGCTATTGTCGCTGCTGTCGCTATTCATTTTTAATGAAACGATATTTTACGTTGTTACTGTTGTTGTTGTTATTGTCATCAATATTATTATTATTATTATTAATAAGACAAACAACAAACACACACACGCACACACACATACACAACTCACTTTTATTGTACAAATAGATAGACAAACACATAGTGTTTAAGTTATAAATTGTAAGATAAACATAAATTTACAGCACACACACATAAACACACCCATACTCACATAGACACACACGACACACACAGACAGAGACAGACACACACAGACAGAGACAGACACGCGCACGCACATAGAAAAATAAACAATGTTTATTTATTTTCCATTTTTACACAGCTATAGCCTGCCATCTGTGGTAGTTTATCATGTGAATGAATGTAATTACAAAGTCTCAACAGGATTTATATGTTTTAAAAATTTTAATATATATTGTATTTATTTCTAAATAATAATAATAATAATATAATCATAATAACAATTATAATTATAGTAACATAAATAAACAAATGTATATTTATATGTGTACATTTAGTATTTATATCTCTGCCTCTCTGTCTATATTTTCTCTCCATTTCTCTCTCTCTCTTTTGAGTGTGTGCGTACGTGAGTGCGTGCGTGCGTGTGTGTGTGTGCGTGCGTGTGTGCGTGCGTGCGTGTGTGTGGCGGTATAAATTGAGTATTCCTGACCGAGGGGTGGGTGGTAAGAAATATAAGAATCCCTAAATGAATAAATAATTGAAACACCGTCAGCCTGCTTACTTACTCTATGTGCAGTTCGCGGTCAGCTAAAAATTTCTTTATCACAATTATATTAAACTAATTTATTATAATTATAATCAAGGGTAGATCTAGACAGCTTTGGCGGAGAGGAGGTCAAAGTTTGACGGAGAAGAGGTCAAAGTTTAGCGAAGGGGGTGTCAAAGTTTAGCGAAAAGGGGGAAAGTTTAAAGGGGGTCGAAAAATGGAAATACTTGACGATCTTTTTCTTGCTTGCTGCTCAATTGTGAAAACGGTATTATTATTAAAATTATTATTATCTTTATTATTATTGTTGTTGTTGTTTTAGTTGTTGTTGTTTTTATTTAATCATCACAATCATCACGGATATCTATCGCAAATCTCCCTATCATCACACTGACGTCACATCACATCACATCACATGACCATCGTAATCTTCGTGACGTCATCATCGTGACGTCGTCGTCATAGCAAACATTATCATCGTCGTCGTCATTATAACTCACCACTTTGAGCCATTTTGGAACGGGATTTCCTTTGTCACTTCGCATATACAAGTTGATGACGGTTGCCGAGAAGAATGATGACATCATGATGATGACCATGTTGAAGCAGAAAAACTTTCCTGATGACGATGATGACGATGATGGCTATGATGATGATGATGATGATGATGATGATGATGATGATAGCTTTGGTGGTGATGATGATAATGGTAGTTTTGGTGGTGATGATGATGATGATAATGATGTGATGTAAGGGTATTGATGATGATAGTGATAATGATGTAATGATGGCGACGATTACGACAATGATGACAGCAGCGATGAATAAAATCATCATTCCAATCGTCATCATCATCACAATCATCATCGTCGTCGTCATCATCATCATCTTCTTCATCATTGACATCATCGTCGTCGTCGTCGTCATCACAACCATCATCATCACCAATAAGTGGGATCTTATGGGAAGCGGGAGGAGTTGAATCGGCCAGGATTTGTAAGAGGAGAAAGAAACTCACGAAAATGTTCATCCCTGATTATAGTAGTCATTATAATTATTTATTATAATTATTATTTATTATTATTAGTACTAGTAGTAGTAGTAGTAGTAATAGTAGTAGTAGTAGTGGTAGT